CCCCCCACACACCTTTACACTTTCATGCATGGCACGTCTCTATCCTCGGGTAACATGCCGCATCTGTAACCCCGATCTGTTTCGGCACCTCGCAATTCCCAAATTAAGCACCCACGCCCAACAATACCCCCCGCTCTTTAGTTTGTCATAGGGCCCGCACCGGCCAGTGGCGTCCCTACCTCCTGGGACGTATTTTGAGCACTCCAGAAATGTATACAGGAGTACAGTACGTATCCATAATGAGCCTGTGTTGGAGAAATGAGGGTATCTTTTAAGCACTGTCCTTTTGTTTTTATTAAACTGTAATGCACTTCAACAAAGGTTTCATTTGCAGTAAACTAATTTACATGTTTACATGTTAATGTAAATTACTGCTTAAATGTGATGGGGAACATTTGATTCTGTTACTAATAATTATTGTTTTAATTAGTAACTATTGTTTGTTGTTGTGTACTATTAACTATTAGTAATTATTGTTTAATTTAACAAAAAATAAATAAATTTAAGGAAGCAGGGAAAAAAGCATTCACAGACAAATCTCCAACCCAGGCTCATTCTGAAAATGTACCCTTATATACATTTCTGAAGGGCACCAAACACATCCCAGTTGGTAAATTTTTATGCTGTTTTTTTTTTTTTTGGGAATCCACCAGAGGCCGCTGTGTACGCTTTCTCATATCTCAAATTTCCCCCACGAGTGCCAATTGTGCCTTCTGTTCTCACGTAAATCCACCAGAGGCTGCTGTCGACTGACTGACTGATGACTCGCCCTCCTCCTTCCCTAAACCCAACCATTGGTGTTTTTCAAAAGTGTGTCACCCACTTTTCTAAATCCAACCGACAAATTAAAGCAATACAGCAAAAGAAAAGCTCTCACCTTATTTTTACCATGTTTTCAGATTTTACCAACTTCACCCTGTTATTTACTTTTATTTTTGGGTTTTGTTTTTGTCTAACTCGTTTTCTGGAATCGTTTTTCAGCAGCCTGTCATCATGGTCAACTCCTCTCTGTGTCGCAAGTCCACTGACGTACATGACGAGTTGCTGGACAAACTGGTAACAGCAGAAAAGCCGTCCACAGGGAGGTTAGCAGTTAGCTGGTAAGTCCGAAACGGAATGGCATTATACCACCCCATAGCATTCATTTTAAAGACGAAATGCAGCAATACATACCTCTGGCTACATAATTCACGATAATAGAAATGCATAGACCATTTTGAGGGATGTAAACAAAAACAGTGGTCCCAACCTAATTCCTATTTTACATAGTTAATTTCTATAGCTGCCGAGAGTCCAAAAACAGCCACATATTGATAAATAATGTTACGACAGCTGTTTTAGCATCAAGTTATGATTAAATTGTTACAGTAATTGTTACAGTTATGAAGTAGTTTGATAAAAAGCAGGAAATGTTCATGGGCCAACGACATTACCACATTGAAATGGTCTATAAAGGGCTGCATTTTCAGAACTATCCTGTGTTGCAAATATTTCTTTGAAAGTCAACCAGAACATGAACTTTCAGAGTCTATATTACACAACTCAACATATTTATATCTTCTGCTGTCATTTTGTATGTACATTTTATCTCATAGAGTGGTCAATGATTCATAAAAACTAAAAACATTCAGACTTAAAAGCATAGAGACCTTGAAATCTGGACACACTTTGCTGTCTGTTTCTTCGAACACAGCCTAAAAAAGGCATGATTTGATGCAGTTTGACGGATCATAACCATTTATAAACTATAGCTTTTGTTCTGCACAATTTCACATCGCATGTAGCAATCCACATGCATGTCTATACAGATGACGAAAGGCGATTGAGAAAAATAGTGCAGACAGAACAAAGGCATTTGGCCATCTGTCAAGCAATGGCTTTAAAATCACTATAATAATGCAGCAGAGACTCCAACTCTGCAATCAATAGCAGTAATGCTTTCCATATGAATTCTGAATATTTTGGATTTAGAAAGCAAAAACATGCATTGAGACCTTCGGGCCAGGTTGTCCACTTGAGCCAGTCATTCCAGGCAATCCCATCTCACCCTGCAGAAACACAAACACACTCTCAAAAAAACTCACTATAGTTTTATTTAAACTGAGGAGCTTGTTCTCTTCTCACAAAGCTCTCACAACCTGCTTATGTTCATGTAGGCTACTACTTTCATGATTCAATCAATTCTATGTAAATTAAAAATGGTAACACTTTAAAATAATGGTCTATTACTTTAATGTTATAAGACTTAATAGATTATTAATTGTTTCTAAAAATTCAAAGCTGATAGAAACCAAACAGCTGATGGAGTATACGCTAACCTGATCATTATTCAGACACTGGATGGCGGCAAACAGTCAAAAACAGCTGATGGAGTATACACTATCGTGTGCATTATTCAGACACAAGATGGCGCCAAACAGTCAAAAACACAAAGCTGACAGACACTAAAACAGCTGATGGAGTATACACTAACCTGCGGATTATGCAGACACAAGATGGCACCAAACAGTCAAAAACAGCTGATGTAGTATACACTAAACCTGCACATTATTCAGACACAAGATGGCACCAAACAGTCAAAAACAGCTGATGTAGTATACACTAAACCTGCACATTATTCAGACACTAGATGGCACCAAACAGTCAAAAACAGCTGATGGAGTATACACTAACCTACGCATTATTCAGACACTAGATGGTGCCAAACGGTCAAAAACAGCTGATGGAGTATACACTAACCTACGCATTATTCAGACACTAGATGGCGCCAAACAGTCAAAAACACAAAGCTGACAGAAACTAAAACAGCTGATGGAGTATACACTAACCTGCGAATTATTCAGACACTAGATGGCGCCAAACAGTCAAAAACACAAAGCTGACAGAAACTAAAACAGCTGATGGAGTATACACTAACCTGCGAATTATTCAGACACTAGATGGCGCCAAACAGTCAAAAACACAAAGCTGACAGAAACTAAAACAGCTGATGGAGTATACACTAACCTGCGCATTATTCAGACACTAGATGGCACCAAACAGTCTAAAACAGCTGATGGAGTATACACTAACCTGCACATTATTCAGACACTAGATGGCACCAAACAGTCTAAAACAGCTGATGGAGTATACACTAACCTGCACATTATTCAGACACTAGATGGCACCAAACAGTCTAAAACAGCTGATGGAGTATACACTAACCTGCACATTATTCAGACACTAGATGGCACCAAACAGTCTAAAACAGCTGATGGAGTATACACTAACCTGCACATTATTCAGACACTAGATGGTGCCAAACAGTCAAAAACAGCTGATGGAGTATACACTAACCTACGCATTATTCAGACACTAGATGGTGCCAAACGGTCAAAAACAGCAGATGAAGTATACACTAACCTGCACATTATTCAGACACTAGATGGCACCAAACAGTCAAAAACACAAAGCTGACAGAAACTAAAACAGCTGATGGAGTATACACTAACCTGCGCATTATTCAGACACTAGATGGCACCAAATACAATAAAGCATCACAAAAAAAATGACACTCACTGTAGTATTGTAATTTTTCAAGTGCTTACTATACTTTTAGATTTACTTACAGCGTCTCCAGGTATACCTTTGGCTCCTTTTGATCCCGACAAGCCTGCTTCACCCTTCAAAGAAACCAACAAAAATACATTTTAAATATGTTTGCTGTTTCATTTAGAAATTGATAGTAAATTACACAAACAATTCACAACATACCTGCCAACACTCCAGTTTTTCCTGTGAGTCTCCCGTATTTCAGACACATTTCCCGCCACCCTCCCGTTTTGTTATTTCTCCTGTGTCAACCACCCCCAACCCCCCCCCCGGTCCTAAGCATTTTGATACAGTCTGTAAAACCCCTGGGTGGCCAACATTGCTCGCAGCGGTGGCTCAAAACACGCTTCATAGTAGATACTAACACCACAGTACACAGTCCCCGGTTCTCAACAGTGTTCTTCAGACATCTCAGCCCTGAACATAACCCCCCAGCGACAAATGTTGGCAGGTATAATTCAAACACACACAAAAAAACAAGAATCAGCTTGAACTCAATCATGTTCTCATTTTATTATTTAGAGAAAGGAGTGCAGCACATATTTGTCTAATGTGGACACCATCTGGATTGTCATTAAATCTTCTTTTACTGCTTCTTATCACTTGTAAACCAATAACTTTTTAAATGCAAAATGTCTTATAGTAAAGTAGCAATAAAATAGCCAATCACATGGCAGCGACTCAATGCATTTAGGCATGTAGACATGGGCAAGACCATCTGCTGCAGTTCACACTGAGCATCCGAATGGGGAAGAAAGGGGATTTAAGTGACTTTGGACGTGGCATGGTTGTTGGTGCCAGATGGGCTGGTCTGAGCATTTCAGAAACTGCTGATCTACTGGGATTTTCACCCACAATCATTTTTAGGGTTTACAGAGAATGGTCTGAAAAAGAGGGAATATCCAGTGAGCGGCAGTTCTGTGGGCGCAAATGCCTTGTTGAGGTCAGAGGAGAATGGCCAGACTAGTTCCAGCTGATAGAAAGGCAACAGTAACTCAAATAAGCACTCGTTACAACCGAGCTCTGCAGAAGAGCATCTCTGAACACACAACACGTCCAACCTTGAGGCGGATGGGCTACAGCAGCAGAAGACCACACCGGGTGCCGCTCCTGTCAGCTAAGAACAGGAAACTGAGGCTACAATTCACACAGACTCACCAAAACTGGACAATAGAAGATTGGAGAAACTTTGCCTGCTCTGTTGAGTCTCCATTTCTGCTGACACATTCAGATGCTCGGCTCAGAATTTGGCCTCAACAGCATGAAAGCATGGATCCATCCTGCCTTGTATCATTGGTTCAGGCTGGTGGTGGTGGTGTAATGGTGTGGGGGAGATTTTCTTTGGGCTCATTAGTACTAACTGAGCATGGTGTCAACACCACAGCCTACCTGAGTATTGTTGCTGACCATGTCCATCCCTTTATGAGCACAGTGTCTCCATCTTCTGATGGCTACTTCCAGCAGGGTAACGCACCATGTCATAAAGCGTGAATCATCTCAGACTTGTTTCTTGAACATGACAATGAGTTCACAGCACTCAAATGGCCTCCACAGTCACCAGAGCTCAATCCAATAGAGCACCTTTGAGATGTGGTGCAATGGGAGATTCACATTCATGTGTGTGGTCTGAAAGGGCTACTTTACTAAAAATATTTGTGCTTTTACAAATGACTAAAGTTATTAGTTTACAGGTAAATTAACTTTATAAGTAGTTATGTTTATGTTAATTATTAAGATGCCTATGTAAAAATAATCTTCAGGCACGTTGCTTTCTAAACAGACTAAACGCAATGTAAGACTGTTAAACAATAATATAACAAAAATAGAAATAAATTCCTAAACATTAAATAGATATTACCTCTTCAAAAGAAAAAAAAGGTACTACTCTCACCTTAATTGGTTTTCTGATTTAGATTGTAAAATATTAATGCATATGTTTTGCAAAGCTGCTTTAAATAGCAATAATTACTGTGAAAAGTGCATGAATACACTTGAATTGACCTGGATATTGTGTTGGACATGTGCTAACGATGCCTTGAAATGTTGCTGGCACACTCAAGTTTCCCAAGAAATCCCGAGGCATAAACTCACCAATAACAAATGCCAAATAAACCGAGAAAGAAGCAAAAGCATCACCTTAATTCCCCTCTGACCATCATTTCCAGGTATACCAGGCATGCCCTAAAATAAAGGAAAGAGTTAGCAAACAAATGTTCCCAATTCTCTATGAACAAAGTAAGTTAAGCAGTTAATATTGCTTAAATACGTTATTCCAGCCTGATCTCACGAGGAAACGCAAGTGTTTTACATTTTGGTTTAGTGGCTAATTTTGTACGAAAATGTACAATTTTAAAAAGGAGGCGTGGCACGTAACCACACCCCTAACCCAAACCGTCATTGGGGGATGAGCAAATCGTACTAAATTATACAAATTAGATTGTACGAATTCATACGAATTACTAAATCCAAAAGTTACGAATTGCTGTGAGATTGTGTTGGTTAATCAGGTTTTAATCAGGTACGATTGGTTAATCAGGTTTTAGCTAATCATTTCTATAGTTATACAAGGTTTAACTTAAAATATTTAGACTACAAATTTTCATTTGATTTAATTGAACAGTTTAAGGCAGAAACTTTTGTGCATGTATCTGATTATTTTGGCACAGCTTGAGCTAAAAGATAATATTAAATGTCCATGTTTTGCTCCAACTGAGTGCATGCACAGCAGAAATAATACAAAAATGAACAAATCCCTATTCCCAAACCCTTCCCAGAGGTCAAACAGCCTGGCCTGGAAATAAATAAACACATGCATAAATAATTACAGGGAACAAAAGGGCTGAAAGAAACTTTTTTACAGTAAATGAGCACATTATTAAGGTGGCACGGTGGCTCAGTGGTTAGCACTGTTGCCTCACAGCAAGAAGTTTGCTGGTTCGAGTCCCAGCTGGTCAAGTTGGCATTTCTGTGTGGAGTTTGCATGTTCTCCCCGTGTTGGTGTGGGTTTCCTCCGGGTGCTCCGGTTTTGGTCCAAACACATGCACTATAGGGGAATTGATGAACTGAATTGGCCGTAGTGTATGAGTGTGTGTGTTAATGAGTGTGTATGTGTGTTTCCCAGTGCTGTGTAAAACATATGCTGGAATAGTTGGCGGTTCATTCCGCTGTGGCGACCCCTGATAAATAAGAGACTAAGCCGAATAAAAATAAATGAATGAGCACATTAGATCAATCAGAAATGAGATGTACAGCATTCATTGATAGCTTGAGTCCTTACACAAATGTGCAACCCTGCTAGTGGGTGTACTGCAGTGAGCATCTGAGGGCTTTGTAAGGACACTGGTGGGTTTTCTTGGCCTCTGATGAAGCTAACATGCACGGGATGTCTGGATTAATCACACATGAAATGCATCCCTCCTGGCAGGTAGAAGCTTCGTCAGCCAGAGAGCGTAATCGCTTTTACAGGATGTTGTTACGTTCGGATAATACTGTAATATAAGGAGCAGCTCCACCGGACATGATCAGCAAACCTACACAATCTGGAGGAGGACAGTTAAATCTCAGGCTAGCTTTCCTGTGATGATAATCAAAGTGATAGGAGATTGTTTTGATAACACTGTATTTTAAGCCACATGAAAACAAACCTTTAACTAAGACTATTAGTTTAATAAACTGCTAATTAGCTGCTTATTAATAGTTAGTAAGGTAGTAGTAAGATTGAAGTATTTGTGACGTAAACTAAGATTCTATTTTAATGCTACCACCTGCTTCGTTATCACTCGATTGAATGGTCGGTTTGAGTGGTTATCAGCTGATAGACATGGGCCAGTAGGAGCCTTCTGCACCTACTGGTAGGCACAGAAGGCTGTTATTATCCATCCACATGGGTAATCAGCTATACTAATAGAGGAGACTCCAGATCTGTTTTTACATAAGTGTGACGTTTGGGTTTAGGGTTGGGGTTGATGTTATCCATTCATTTTCTTGTCGGCTTAGTCCCTTTATTAATCCGGGGAATATTCGGTGGTCTTTTATCATATTTTGGATTAATTTATTTGTATAATTTTTAGTTATAGAACATAAATAAAACTAAAGTAAAATCACAACTATAACCTTGATAACCAGATCACTTTATATTATTATTGTTTATTATTATTATTATTATTATTATTGTTGTTGTTGTTAATGTTGTTATTATCTTTATTATTTACTTAATTTTATTATTGTTTTTGTTGTTGTTATAATTATTATTTAATTTATTATTATTATTATTAATATTTTTGTTGTTATCATTATAATTTACTTTTTTATTGTTGTCTTTATTATTATTTAATTTA